ATACTTATACTTGAAACAACATTATAATAGTTAATTTTAACATGTCAATTTTAATGTTCTTTATAATAGATGTCTATAGATGCATGTCTGTGCAATCAAGATATGGAAGATGACTTCCTTGATGCCTCATTTAGAAGATGTGAATCGCTTCTACCAAAAACAGAAAAAATAGAACCTAAAGATTGTGCATCTGCATTCATATATCTCAAAGAAAACTTTAACACAACATTGTAGATGCTACATATAGATGTAAACTAAATTTAAATTCATTTTGTAAATACAGATTTAAACCAAATCCTTAGAAACATGGTAGCAACCAGTCTGGTTAAGTTCTTAATTTAAAGTAGTTCAATAACTTCTGAAAATTGATTTGATGTTTGTTGTTCTCATGTAAAGTTTAAACAAAAACAATCCTGGATAGATGGAAAGAAAAACAAATGGTGATCAAAGTTTGTTCGTTCACTGCAACCAGGTATATCAACCATGTTCTCGCTTGCTACTCCGGTTTAAATAAATGATTACAAAGCCCAGTCGAATTGTAATCAAGACCCAACATTTCGACACTCCAGTCTAGTGTCTTCAGGGGTGATCTGAAGTTACAATCGTTGGCTTCTTAAATACCCAAGGGATGACGTCACCTGCCAATGAGATGCATGTATCCCTCTGGTAAATAGGCACCGTCATCCCTATTCAAAGCATGATTACTCATATTTATATGCCATGCTTCTAGGCATAGTCTTTGACTAGTGTGGCATATAAATGAGTAATCATCCTTTGAATAGGGATGACAGTGCCTATTTACCAGAGGAATACATGCATCTCATTGGCAGGTGATGTCATCCTTTGGGTATGTAAGAAGCTACATTGCAATTTTAGATTACCCCTGATGAAGACACTAGACTGGAGTGTCGAAACATTGGGGTTTGATTACAATTCAAATAGGCTTTGTAATAATTTATTTAAACCAGTGTAGCAAGCAAAAACATAAATGGTGATCAATCTTTACTGCAAACACTAGTCACCAAAAGTGGTAAAAGACATTGGACCTACTATGTTTTCCAACTGTTAATTTAAGACTTGAATTAAATTGCCCAATGTGTTCATAAAAGTTTTTTTATTATAACCTGGTGTTAAACAGATGCTTGCCCAGTCACTCTTTGCTACCACATTACTAGGGATGCGATTTAAAGTCTGATATGTTCTTAAAAGACATTAATGAATCTTCAAGAGTAACTAACAGATAATGTCGATAATATCAAGTTTTAGGTGTCCTTGTTATACACCAAACTGAAATAAGAACAATGTTTTAAAGATACATCATTACTTTCCCCTAACAGCAGTTTGTGTATTCTTTCTATACAAGTACTTTAAGCTTCAGAAGCTCACAGTACTCATTACATCTATGAATGAGTTTAAATTTTGCAATTGCTTCAAATGACAAATTCCCTGTGGTAAAAAGTAATTCTTTATTTTCATCAAAGAGGGAAGATGATGCAACTTCTGGGTCTACAAGGGAGTAGCCACATCCTTGGATATCTAACACCATTACCTGATTGTTGGATTTTTCAAAAGAAAAATGAGAAAGACACTCTGCTTTCTGTAATATAACTTCGTTGACATTCTTGCACAATGTGCCATCATTGTTTATATACTTACTAAACTCTCCATCTACAAACTCTTCAACTGTGACAAATTCGTCACCTTTTTTTCCTAAGTAGACACTCCCATAATGAAAACAATCACCAAAAGATTCTTGCATGCCATTTTGCTCAACACTTGTCTTCAGTTGGCTTGCAAAGTTCTGGGCTAAGCTGTGCATTTGTACAACCTTCTTTGTATGGGTTTCGAGAGTTTGATTGGACTCAGCAATGACATCCAATGCATTTTCATTATATTCTTTGACTACCCATGAACCAGCAAAGCTCTCATCTTTTGATTCTGCTTTATAAGCTTTTCGGAATGCACCTTCTCCGAGCACATCTTCTGAAACACTAAATTCAACTGCCCTTGGTGAAGACGACCAGCTCATATCTGCCAAATTAAATCCATACAAGTGGATGGTAGTGGTAGACTTGTTTATAAGTTTACCTAGTTTCAACATATGGGTTACCGAGAGACTCTTGGGCATTGGTGTTGAGATTTTAGCTTTTTTTGGACTTGGAACAGAGTTAGGGCCCTTTCGTTTTACAGTTGTGCTTTGCGGATGAACTGGGTCAGTATCATCAACGAATACAGGCGCATCTGCTGTCGAGCTTTTGTTTATGAATCTGACGTATATAAGATTCATATTAGGTATTTGCTTCAAGGATGCGCAGGAAGGTCCTTGCTCACCGGCAAGAATATCACATACAACATTGTTTCCAACCTTCGGTTCAAAATGTTTCAGGCATGCATCCTTCACTCGTTCAATTGTCATCTCTTCTTTTGTATAAAATCGATCTAGATCTTCATCGTCGTCGTCATATAACTGGACAAATTCCCTTGGGCCGATACGTGAATACTTTTGGGCCTTGCCCAACACGTCCGCGCTTAACATTTGAACAGTTATTTCACGTTTGGAAACATCTTTCCCTTTTTGGCTCTTCCCACTCAAGCGTTTTTTTTTCATATCTTCTTTGAACTTTCGCCATTTCTCCGCCATGTTGCTTTCCGCGCGGGCAAAGGTTCATGGGATGTTATGATAGCGCTCGGCCGCTGCTCGGCCAGTGTGCTCGGCTCATGGGAATTTCTCTCGGGTCGCTGTGCATTATGGTAGTGGCAGCCCTCGGCCATGGTGAAATTCACTTTTACTTTGTAATTTTAATTGTAAATCAGTATTTTGTATTTCATTTTAATTTACTTTTATTTTTCATTTTAATTTATTTTTATTTTTCACTTTAATTAAAAAAAAATTATAAAGAATATTTTGGTAGTGGCAGCCCTCGGCCATGGTGAAATTCACTTTTACTTTAATTTTAATTGTAAATTATTTTGCATTTCATTTTAATTTATTTTGTATTTCATTTTAATTTATTTTGTATTTCATTTTAATTTATTTTTATTTTTCATTTTAATTAAAAAAATAAAAAGTAAAAAAATCTTTAAAATAATGTAAAATGTACAAAAAAAACGAGTGGCAACGCTCGGCCACCATACATTTGTGGTCAAAGTTTCGTGAAATCGACTCAGTCAAAAGCACAGATTTTCGAAGTCAAAATGTGAATTATGTTCAAGATTAGTAGACCAGAATCGACTGGGGAAGTTGAATGTTGAAGAATTTTAACCTTCAAATTAAATTTACAATGGGGCATTTGACCACCACTTAGTTGTGGAATGTAGGGCATTTGAACTTCGTTTTTTGACTTGGGATGGGGAATTTGATCACTGTCAAATGCTCTGGTATATGCCCGGGGGGATGTTACACCTCGTCTTGATAGGCGCATAATCAGGGAGGGAATCAATCTCATTTTCGCAGCTAAAAAATGTTGTTAATTCGTACATATAGAAAGTGCCAAATATTGTCATGTTTATAATGTCAGTTGCGAGTTGTGTGTCAACGTATTGCCTAATTAGAATTTAGAAAATTGAGGCTTTCTCGAGGTATGAACAACCGAATTGTAGTACCGGTTAATACTTTACATTGCTAAACCATTTATTTCAACCAATTTGTTTTGCCATCTTCGTGACGTCGCCGTCTTACATGCGCAAACTCCCCATGTATGGTCAGGGACGTAGCGACGGGAGAGAGATCAGATATAGGCGGTGTAACACTCCACTCCCCCACCAAAAAAAAACAATTTCAGGAAAATTGCTATGTAATTCAGCTTGTTTTCAGCATTGATTGGCAAACGTGCAGGTTAAAAAGGGAAACAAGCTAAGAATGCCAAATTTTAGTTGCGTATCTGGGATTTCTGAAGGTTAAAAGCTTCAAAATTTCCCTCCGTCCCCTGATGCGCCCTACTTTATTATTTTACACTGTTCATCGCCGAAGGGAAAAGTTGACAGGGTGAGTTGGGATAAACACAGTTAGGAAAAATAGACAGATTTAGATCGAGGACGCGGACGTCAAAGACGACGTGAAAATGGCGTGTTGTGCCCATGTATGGATATGCTATTTTGACGCCATTTTCACGTCGTCTCGTTCTCGATCTAAATCTGTCTAATATCTCAATATTGTTGTAAAGATAAATAGTCTTAGGCTAAGTAAGTAACATAAATAATCGCAATACTTGATGTAATCGATCACTGAAACCCCCAATGGGGAGTGAGCTGAATAATAATGTAATGTAATGTAATGTAATCTAATCTAATCTAATGTAAATTATTTTGCTATTGTCTGACGCCAGACGATTTTATTGTCAAGGGGAGAGTGCTGCCGCTCAATGGGTTAATCTACTCCAGGAATGTACTTAGAAATTGTACTTTCAAAACTCCAAAAGCATTTTGCAAGTCGAGATTGTTTTGTGCCGCGAGATTGCAGATATCACCACACGTTCTCTGAAATTTACATATGCAGGGCGTTTTATATTTGACTTAGGGCCTGTTCATATGGGCAAAAGTTATCCCGGTTAACGAGAGAACTTTTCGACTAGCCAAATACTTTTGTTCTGTTCATATGGAGAAATATTATCCCACTTACCGGGAAAAGTTTCCGGCTGTGACGTAGCACTGAACATCAATTGAATTGAAAAGTTGCTGACACGACAGAAAGTTATCCCGCTAAGCGGGAAAGTTGTGTTCATATGGAGAAAACATCCCGGTCACCGAGATCTCGCCTGTCAACAAGCGAGATCTCGGTATACACGGGAAAACTTTTCGTCTCATATGAACGCAATGTAACTTTTCGTATTATTTTCGTAACAGGGCGAGATCTCGCTCGTAAACTTGTCGAAAAGTTTTCTCGCTAACCGGGATAACTTCTGCCCATATGAACAGGCCCTTACACAGGAAATTTTATTGTTGGATTTTGGATGTTAAGCTTTAATTAATCTTCACAATGTAAAGTTCTGATTTTCCCCTAGCATATTGGTTTACCCACTACACTTTGAACCAAGAACGTCGTCAGGTTGTGATCTTCGAAAATGTAAAATGCAGCAAGGTGAAAAACAAGAAATGTGTCTTATGCACTCAAAAGGCTGCCGGCTCTGACGATTACGTACTCTTGGGAAAGGTAATATTTAAATTAAATTGAATCTGGATTAATACCAACGGACAATTTTGAAAAGCTTGAATAAAACCGAATTGTGGTGGACAGAGCTATCCTGTCTTTGTAAAATTGACCAACTCTTCTGATAAAAAGTTTTAAACAATTATAGAATTGATAGAATTATAACTGTACATTAAACAACAACGCTAATCGATATTGGTTATATCTTAGCAAAAGTATCTAATGTCAGTCAAATGGCTCAACTCAGGAGTCAGGACACTCTCTATTCATTTCATCAAGTGACCCATGTTGACCATGTTCTGAAAGATTCGCATAACTTAGGGGCTCTTTACATGATGGAAGGCGGGGTGATTTTGATGTATTAAATAAGTCGCTAGGCTAAACAAAAGAAAGTTCAAATGCTGGCTAACTGAACTCAAATGTTGTAGAGAAGATCTTGTAGTTCAAGAAGATTATTATTGCTGCTTGAAGGACATTGGCAATAAAAAAATAGTTTAGTTCTCCTGAAAGAACTCTTAAAATTATATATTAAACTCTGTTACCGATTTGTCATATCTTGCTTAGTTCTCGAAATATTTAGATCGAAATTAATGAGCTTTCCGCCATCTTGGAAAAATTCTTTACCTCATTAACTATGGTTTTGATGACATCAGGAGTTGGGTTAACCATATAAAACTACTCGAAAATGACCAAATAACAATAAAAAATTGTTTGAAATGTTTTTAATCATTTCTAAATTTCTGACAGCAACCAGAAACGAAGTTAGTTGAACCCATATTGATCGCTTACTATCTCAAGATAAAAAATTAGCGTGACCCCTCTCTTGACGTAACATGCATATCCTCAATAATCAAAGATGGCGACCAGCTCACTTTTTTCAGCTCAGTCGAAATATTTTGAAAACTAAGCAAGATATAAACAATCTGTTATAGAGTTTAATATATAGTTTTAAGAGTTCTTTTGAATGAGATATACTAATTTTTTATTGCCAATGTCCTTCGAACAACCTTTTGTCCCATGTTAACCTGAGTATCAGGCTCTATTTTACAAATAGAGCCTGACACAAAACTTAACCTGATCGCTTTCCGCCCACAGCAAAGTTTATATTTAGTATCCAATCAAAATGTCGCAAGAGAAATTTAAATTTCACACAACGACAACAACAATCTAATTATAGCATAGGCGCTCACTAAACGGCTGAATTTAAATTAAAACTGCAATGAACTTATAAAATTAACAAAAATAATCACAAATTAGCGAAATATATTGCAAATGTAGCTTATATTAAATCGCCACCCGATTGCTCTCTCCTCCGCAGAGGTTTCAGTGATTACAATGAGCTTTACATGGCGCTTGCCGTATTTATCAACAAACAGTGACGTATAATTATAAAGTATATATATATATATATATTAAGTATACTTTATAACTATACGTCAGTCGATAGTGCAATCTGATGGCGATTTAATATAAGCTACATTTGCAATATATTTCGCTAATTTGCGATTATTTTCTAATTTTACTGCAGTTTTAATTTAAATTCAGCCGTTTAGTGGGCCGGCTATAATTGTAGTTGTGATCGTTATAAAATATATCAACGACAATAGTATAATCTAATTAGCACCAGCCAATCAAATGACAGATTTAAAAATCGTTTGTCTAATCGGCCAATCAGCGCTCAGTCCAGATTCTGGACTGAACAAACCAGGCAAAATGCCACTTTTGTGTCAGGCCGTACTTTTCTCCCCTTCGCCCACGATCAGGCGTGCCTGTGCCCTAAAAAGTACGGCCTGATACTCAGGTTAGTCCCATGTCTATTCTGTGCTTTTGCTTAGAGTTAACTAATCTAAGATAATGTAGTTTTTTGCTGAATCGTGAACCGTTACTCATTTCAATACATCAAAATCATCCCGCCTTACATCTTGTCCTGGCAAAGCAGGATCATATAAACAGCCCATTAGAGCCTCAAGCCTTTGTCATACATATTGGAAATTTCGCCCCCCCCCCCCCCCAGAATGGGTGAATTTAATATAGAAATGTTTCAAATTAATTTTTCGCTGCACGAAATGTAAAATGAAGAAGATAGCATGCGTCTAATTAACATGATGAATGCACGTCAAATCTTCTCCGAGAACGCAGAGACTTCAAATTTGTCTATCCTTGTTTTTCTTAACTTTTCTAGGTAATTGATGAAATCCCAGAGAGGTTAGGTGACATAGATCCTCTGACTGCTTTTCTCAAACGTCCCAAAGCAATTGGGAGTGAATTGCTTTTCCTCAAATCGATGTTAACATCCAAGGAAAGGCCACTTTTAGTGGGTTTCGATGGCGCGGGCCAGCCTATTCCCATGAATAAAGTAAGGAAATATTCGTCTGATTTCCAAGCATTTTTCAGAATACTTGAAGCTGGCTAACACATAGAACACAATGCAATTATTAAGAGAGCTTTGATAAAAGGTTGACAATTGATAGTGCATGCATATATACTTAGTCTTAGTTTAATCTCATATTGTTCCAAGTCAAGACAGCCTATAATCTATATCCGTTGAATTAAGTTTTATGACAGTTTTGGAGTGAATGAACTTAAATTATATGTACAAGATATGAAATCGTGCCTGTAGTTAAGTTAAACGCTTTTAAATTATTAAAGGAATACCCGCATTTACTAGTTAGACGTAGTATCGTATACAAATGGATTTATTTTTAGCTGTAGTGTAGCCTGCAGTAGCTAATAAATGGAATCGGTAAACCAAATCTGACTATACGATTCTATTCAGTTCTACAATAAAACTTCAAACGGATTTAGGATATGCAGTCCGACTTCAGGATTTAGGATTTAATAGGTAGGTATAGTTAGTTTGTTAATTATAGTCAATTAGCCTTTCTCACGATGGCGAATATCCGCCATTTTTGGGTGGCATCCAATCCTCGTTAACCAATGCAGACTGCTAAAACAATGTGAAAAGCAATTTTTCAAAATAAACTAACCATTTACAAAGCAAATTTACCATCATTTGTCCAAAAAATTATAAAAAGTCGCTGTTATGTGGACTTATCTCGCAGACTTCGGCTGAAATGCCACCCTGAAAAATGGCGTGCATGCGTAAACCTATTTTAGGCCAAAATCCGCTATTTTTGTGGTATACTGTGTCGTGGTTTAAACCAAGTTGACATTGTCATGTTATTGCCATAGTAAAAACACCGGGTTATTCTTGACATCTTCTGGTTAAAGTTGCTATGCTAACGACTTGTTGTGTTGTTAAATATTCCAGCTTATTCCAAAATACCTGCTATCTACTCGCTCTTAATATTTGCAGTGCTTTTTACATGGCAGGACATTTTTTTAACAGAAAAGTTTAAATACGTGTGATTTTATCTCAATGTAAGAATATTAGTAGGATAGGTAAGTGTAAATTTTAATCTTTATGTAAAACTAAAAGTAACTAAAAGTAGCGATTTTATTGCAAAATGTTAAATTAAGTTTGTATGCAGTTTGTTGAATTTTTTAAAAAGTTCGTTAAACGTCGGTTAATTGATTTTTTACTTGAAATTCGAGAGTCTGACTTAACCAATTTATAATTCTCTTGTTGTTCTGCATAAAATGCAAACGAAACGTTTCTGAATTTCAAAAGCTTGTTCAAGAATATTTTTGGCTTTTACAAGTTGATTGTTGCTAACAACTAATGTTTTCAACATGACATAAACAATGAAATTATTTTGGGGCTTTTTACTCATTTTTAATTCGCAGCTATCGCGAGCTGAAAGCAAGACATCAAAATATTCGTGTATTTTGTTATTCGTGTTAAAGTTCGGGGAAAATTAATTGACAAAGAACTCTGTTTGCATCGATCGTGACTAAAACACCACACGGGAACATACAAGTAACACACAAGTACACAAGTACATACACTTTCACTTTGGCTTCGTATTATGTTCATGTTGTAAATGCCTTATTGACATAGGCGTACGAGACAGGGGGGCGGGGGGGGGGGGGGGCAACTGCCCCCCAAATTTTGGAAAACCATGGAAGTTCGGGCAAACGCTAGGAAAAATCAAGAAAATTCGGGCAGATTTATGAGAAAATATGTCAAAATCAGGTTATTTCCATCAATACGCAATGCGCATAGGAGAGAAATCCATCAATACGCGTAGGAGAACGGGGCTGATGTTTTTTTTTGGGGGGGGGGGCAGTTGAAAGTTTGCCTGAATTTTTATGGATTGTAAAAAAATAACCTGATATTTTCTCATAAATCTGCCCGAATTTTCTTGATTTTTCCTAGCGTTAATTTGTTCGAATTTCCATGGTTTTCCAAATTTTGGGGGCCATTGCCCCCCCCCCACCCCCCGCCCCCTGTCTCGTACGCCTATGTCAATAAGGTATTTACAACATGAACGTAATACGAAGCCCAGTAGCGTAACGGAGGAACACGGGGCCCTTACGCATATTTTGTGTCGGGCCCTTTTGTCATACATCGTTAGTGACGAAACGCACCGTACGTGTCTCACGGCGCGACCTTCCTAGGGGGGTCGGTCGTTTTTTTCTTTTTTTCGGCTCTCTTTTGTGCCCCAGATTTGTACTTTCGCTTTCCAGCTATCATGGCCGACATTTTGTTTTGCATTTTTAATTTGGACGTACTTCATATAATAACTAATAAGAATAACTTTTGTTTTATTTGAGATAAAATAAAATGTCAGTTGCCACTGTCGATGTTTATTGCCACTGTCGATGTTTATTTATTGTAATACCGTATAACCGCTTTAATCTAAATCATGACCGTATTAATCTAAATTTGGTGGGGGCCCCCCGGTGCCCCCTAACAGTCGGGGGCCCTTAGTTATTGCCCTAACCTTACCCTATGTGCGTTACGCCACTGACGAAGCCAAAGTGAAAGTGTGAAAGTGAAAAAAACTTTAAAGAAAGCGTGCTAATTCGATCTGATCTAAAACTCCACACGAGTCAGAACACGAGTGAACACGAATGAACACGAGTGAACACGAATGGAACGCGAGTGAACACAAATGGAACACGAGTGAACACGAGTGAACACGAATGGAACACGAGTGAACACGAATGAAATACAAGCCTTAAACGACTAATAACCCTAAATACAACTTATTAATGTGCCAATAATACGAACACTACGAACAAAGTAAAATTGATTTTTGCGGGGATTCTGATGTTATGCATGGCAGTGCAGTAGCAAGCTGTTGAGAGTGGACTGCAAAAGGATATGTGGGGGCGGGGGGGGGGAGGAGGAGGGCAATTCAAAACCCCTGAGATAATATATATAAAAACTATACGCAATGGTTTATTTTCCAAATTTGAACTGTATCAAACATCAGTTGAAAACAAAACACGTTAACGTGTCCAGGGTAGTATGGCTGGGGGTAGGCGGGGTTGGGGGGGGGGGAGGGAGAAAACATTTTCGGACATACCATTTTTCATTAACTTACCAAAATTTGTACAATTTTCAGTAATATCTTCGTAAATTTATCTAAATTTATCCTACATTGTCACTTTTCCAAAAATTATTTGTTAAATTACATTTTTTGCCCGACGAGCGTGTCGTTAAAATTGCCCCAGGGAATTACGCCCCTGAACGTATCTTAATATTAATATAATATAGTAAATGTCCTGGCACAGTAAATATTAATGTAGTAAATGTCCTGGCACTCCAATTGGAAGTTCTAAAATATGAAGCGACCACAGGGTCGTAGCTAGCATGTATAGTGGGGGGGGAGGGATCTCGGGAAAAATTTCCGAAAGACGAAAAAAGTTTCGAATCTTTCATTGCATACGACGGCCCGAAGATGTTTGCTATTCGGAAAATGAAGACGCAATAAATTATAAATATTAAATCCGTTTTTTATTAGACGCACCAAAAGGAATAATAATGTATCATAATTGAGTCAATTATTGACCAAATACAAACAAAAATACACATATTTTTACGCATAGACATATTACAGAAGTGATAAACCGAAAAACATTCACCGATTTACGATTTGTAAATTGTTATGCGTGTAAATGCCATAATTCAATCAGTTTATACTGACAATACAATTCTATCAATATTTTCTCTGTTTAACAACTAAAATTTCGTTATACTATTATTGCCGTAATTTTCCGAATGGCCAACCCGATTTTCCTAATATGTTAATTCTAAAAAAGTTGGGGGGGGGGCAGGTTAAACCAACCCCAACCCTCCCTCGCTACGGCCCGGAGCGAAAAACAACATGAAAATGAATGCCTATTGCATTTCATTAAAGAAATAAACTACAGCTAATTTAAAAAATGTTGTCCATTGCAAACCTTGAACTCTAGATCTTAAACCTTAAACTCTAGGCGTGCAAAGCATAATGGGAGCATCATTTAATCAGTTACAATCTCGTGCACAGAGCCCGAGTACGTCATCTTCCAAGTATATTGTGGATTCACTCGTGTTCCATTGGTGTTCACTCGTGTTCATTCGTGTTCACTCGTGTTCCATTCGTGTTCACTCGTATTCCATTCGTGTTCACTCGTGTTCATTCGTGTTCACTCGTGTTCCATTCGTGTTCACTCGTGTTCCATTCGTGTTCACTCGTGTTTACTCGTGTTCATTCGTGTTCACTCGTGTTCACTTGTGTCCACTCGTGTTCTGACTCGTGTGGAGTTTTAGATCAGATCTGCTAATTCTCGTATTTTTCTCGTATGTACTCGTATTTTACTCGTATGTACTCGTATTTACTCGTGTGTTACTCGTCTGTACTCGTATGTTACTCGTATGTACTCGTATGTACTTGTGTGTTACTCGTATGTTACTCGTGTGGTGCACGTGTTTTAGTCACGATCGTTTGCATCTCGTAGGCAGAGAAAAAAACACTCGTATCGTCTCGAAAATAGTCTTAAAATCATTCGTTTAAGTGTAAAACGCTCTGCTGCTTAATTATTAATAGAAATCCGCGCACAGGTTTGAAAAGAAAAGGAGTCAGAATCCTAGTTCGGGTACATCCTCGGGTAGAAGAATTTGCATCACAGACTACGTCATCAGTTAGTTATAGCGATTAGTTTTGAGGTTAGGGTAAGGGTTAGGGTAAGGGTTAGGGTTAGGGTGAGGGTTAGGGTAAGGATTAGGCTTAGAGATAGGGATTTGGTTATATCTGACGCCACAAACAACACAACTAGCCGATCACGTGATCACTTCTCCTCTACCCGAGGAACTACCCATTAGTTCACACTCCGCCAGAGCGATTTGTTTGAAAACGTCACTTTTGTTCAGGTTTGGTCAATTTCGCGGGGATCGTGACTAAAACACCACACGAGTACATACGAGTAACATACGAGTAACACACAAATACATACGAGTACATACGAGTAACATACGAGTAACATACGAGTACATACGAGTAACACACGAGTAACATACAAGTACACACGAGTAACATACGAGTACACACGAGTAACATACGAGTAAATACGAGTACATACGAGTACATATGAGTAAAATACGAGTACATACGAGTAAAATACGAGAATTAGCACGCTTTCTTTAAAGTTTCTTTCACTTTCACACTTTCACTTTGGCTTCGTATTATGTTCATGTTGTAAATGCCTTATTGACATAGGCGTACGAGACAGGGGGGGGGGGCAACTGCCCCCCAAAATTTTGGAAAACCATGGAAATTCGGGCAAACGCTAGGAAAAATCAAGAAAATTCGAGCAGATTTATGAGAAAATATGTTAAAATCAGGTTATTTTTTTACAATTCTCCATAAAAATTCGGCAAACTTTCAACTCCCCCCGCAGAAAACATCAGCCCCGTTCTCCTATGTGTTTTGCAAATTTAATACGTCAATTGTACACCTGTTAATACGTTTTCAACAAGGAAAGATAAAATGCTTAGGGTTCATTATTTATCGGTTGGGGGGGGGGGCTGGTAAAATAATGGGGGGGGGATATATTTTATGGGTGTAAAATAAAAAGAATGGTTTTGGGGAGACAATAAAATTTTATAGCATTGATAAAAAGAAGATAGTAGAGAGATAGTGGCGTAGCCGGCGTAAAAGGCGTGAGCCATTTTAGGGGAGGTCTGGGGGCATGCTCCCCCAGAATATTTTGAAATCTAGAGTCCCTGAAATGCGATTTCCTGCATTTTCGGGGTTTGAGTTTGCATAAGTCCGAAGACTGTATAATGCATAAAAGACATGATTTTTCGTGATGGAAAATGATGGGTTAAAATAAAGCGAATTACTTTTAAAACCGAATGATGATTGAAAGTAAATATATTTTACATTTAAAAACCCAAAGTAAACCCTTTCTTCTTGAGGCCATATATGTACTTACTTAGACAAGATTATACACAATTATATTGTGGATTTGGATTTTATTTCACACCCCCCCCTCCGTTGACTAAATCCTGTCCAGTATCCCCAAGTTGAAGGTCCTCTCTACGCCCCTGGTTGTAATTAAAGAGCACACAAGAATAGGATGGGAAGAACTACCATACGGCCATACTATGTTCTTCTTAACTTTAATGTTGGAGGAGGGTGAAAAATTTTCAGACTGTTCTAAAGGGGTGGACTACATTTTTAAACACATTAAAAGGGAGGTCATTTTTATTATGCTGTTTGAATTTTAGAATCCACCAGCTCCTCCCCCCCCCCCCCCCCGATAAATAATGAACCCTAAGTATTTTATATTTCCCGGTGTACAATTCACGTATTAAATTTGCAAAACACATAGACTACAGACGTATAAACAACATGGCAAACATGCACTTTCATGTACTACAAAAACTCTCTGACAGCCTGTGAGCAATATGCTACATTTAAACCTTTTTAGAGTCTTAGAACATACAAATCTTTATTCTATATTAATGAATTACTTTTTCTACGTGGTGCGAGGCTTCGAAATCCATCAATACGCATAGGAGAACGGGGCTGATGTTTTCTGGGGGGGGGGAGGGGGCAGTTGAAAGTTTGCCTGAATTTTTATGGAGAATTGTAAAGAAATAACCTGATTTTAACATATTTTCTCATAAATCTGCCCGAATTTTCTTGATTTTTCCTAGCGTTTGCTCGACTTACCATGGTTTTCCAAAATTTTTGGGGGCAGTTGCCCCCCCCCCCTGTCTCGTTCGCCTATGTCAATAAGGCATTTACAACATGAACATAATACGAAGCCAAAGTGAAAGTGTGAAAGTGAAAAACTTTAAAGAAAGCGTGCTAATTCTCGTATTTTACTCTTATGTACTCGTATTTTACTCGTATTTTACTTGTATGTACTCGTATTTACTCGTATGTTACTCGTGTGTACTCGTATGTTACTCGTGTGTACTTGTATGTTACTCGTGTGTTACTCGTATGTACTCGTATGTTACTCGTATGTACTTGTGTGTTACTCGTATGTTACTCGTATGTACTCGTGTGGTGTTTTAGTCACGATCCTAGTACATTACTTTATATGCATTACTTTACATACATTACTTTACATACATTACTTTACATGCATTACCAGTACATTACTTTACATGCATTACTTTACATACATTACTTCACATGCATTACTTTACATGCATTACTTCACGTGCATTACTTTACATACATTACTTTACATGCATTACTTTACATACATTACTTTACATACATTACTTTACATGCATTACTCTACATGCATTACCAGTACATTACTTTACATACATTGCTTTACATACATTACTTTACATACATTACTTTACATGCATTACCAGTGCATTACTTTACATACATTACTTTACATACATTACTTTACATACATTACTTTACATGCATTACCAGTACATTACTTTACATGCATTACTTTACATACATTACTTTACATACATTACTTCACATACATTACTTCACATACATTACTTTACATACATTACTTTACATACATTACTTTACATACATTACTTCACATACATTACTTCACATACATTACTTCACATACATTACTTCACATACTTCACATACATTACTTTACATACATTACTTTACATACATTACTTTACATACATTACTTTACATACATTACTTTACATACATTACTTTACATACATTACTTTACATACATTACTTCACATACATTACTTCACATAAATTACTTCACATACATTACTTTATATACATTACTTCACATACATTATAACCTGAGTATCAGGCCCTAGGTATTGAAAGAGGGCCTGACACAATTCGCCTCTAAAGCCATGTTCAACATCCAGAATCTGGATGTTATGCTGATTGGCTAAGAGACGATAAAACGCATCATGTGATTCAAACCGGAAATATATGACCGGCGTATGTAAACACCAAAAATAGAATTTGTAATTTTGTCAATATACTGTTAAAAGTGCTTTACTTCTGAAATTTATTTTCAATTAATTAAGCCTAAAAATGACAAAATAAGTACGAAAAGACGTTGAAAACGCTTTTGCAGCAACATTTTACTCGGTATAAAACTAAAACTACATAGTCATAGTAGAAAGCGTGTCTAAATATTTCGCCGTAATAGTCGCCGTAGAACGAAAATATGTGGATGTCGGATATTTTCAAATATTTAGTTCCAAAAAGCTGAAGCCTTATTTATCAGTTTATTGCCGAGCTGTTTTCCAGACCTGCAAGGATATAGTAGTCAGCTCGCTCGAACTAATATGCCAACATCAGGCAGAAATTGAAGACAATAGCCGCTGTGTCAGACGCAGTTGAAGCGAATAGCTGTCTCGAATAAACTATTAACATGACACGAGGACCGAGGAAGAAGAAATCCTATTCAGAGCGCCGAATGTTGTCTCTTTAGACTCCTGGAAAAAGCCATCGAGCTATGGTTCCCCGAATGAGGCATAGTTTACGCTTAGAATTCCATCATGTGGATATTTCGACAAAAACATACCGATTTTTCTCCGTATTTATTCAAATTTATACAAAACTGCAAATAACGAAATTTGCGTATTTACAATTTTACATACATGTAGCGGACAACCGGAAATATGCTACGACCGGAAATAATTTTAATTGGCTTATATTCTGGGGGTGGAAAGCCCGTAGAGGCGAATTGTGTCAGGTTCTCTTCAATACCGAGGGCCTGATACTCAGGTTACACACATTACTTTACATACATTACTTTACATACATTACTTTACATACATTACTTTACATACATTACCAGTACATTGGTGAATCCCTCTCAATCCGCAGCTTTCTGTTGTTATTGTCGCTACCTACTCTGGCACAAACCGTTTGACATTTTAACAAGATCGGAAAATTAGAAAATGAAGCTACAGGGTATGCATACATGCTTTCCAAGTAACTTGAATTTTAAACCAAGTTCTACTAACTATAGTTTGATTGACTCTGTAGATATTAAAGTCAAAGAACAATCTATCTCCAACATGATGAGGTATGCATGAGGTTTTTCAACAACCGCAGGTGTGAACCTCAATCAGAACGCCCCTCAATGTGTTTCCTTTTGTCAAAGTAAGGGGGGGGGGGTTAATTACCACGAAGCCTACAGTAGCTCCAACCTCGCAAGCCAGGGTCTTTTACCTGCGCTCGGGCTCCGGCGAAGACCCTGGTTCCCTCTGGTCACGTGAACCCCCAGATTTTAGGGGTAATTCGAATTGCCGCCTCTTTGCCACGTAGGGAGGAGTGGTAGAGGGAATTCAAGAGCGAAAAGCCGAAAACTAAAAAATCAATAACTATGCCTATGGAAAATACGGCCATTTACGCTCTGTATTAACTCATGTTTTGGGTTTTGTCGGTTTTTGTGTTATCTTTTATGAAATATGTCACCGCTTGAAAGCTTTTTACACCTATTTGATATAATTTGCATGGCTGGAGGTCTGTTTTACACCCAATCTTGTTCCCCGAGCATGCCCGTTCGCAGGTTAAGGGTAGGCATAGCTCTGGGGAAATCGAATTGATTCAGGCCTGTGATTGGCTAACGGCAGATAGTACGTTGGATTTTCAACGTGAGTTCTATATAAACAAAGTATTTGGAATTTCTCGTCGAAAATTTGATACTTTTTACACTGAAATCGATTGAAAACAACTAGAAATTCTGGAGGAAATATGTGCGAAAGCGTCGGATTGATAGGGATACAACTACCTGAAAAATACAAGGAGAACTTCGACGTTTCGAGCGAAGGCGCTTCTACTTGTGTTGTTAGTGTTTGTATACATCGTACTTGACCTTTTATATACTGTCAGACTCATACCTAACACTACGTATACCATAAATTCTGACAGGAGAGTTAAATGTAAATTTTAAAGCATAAAAATATATAATACTTATTATTGAGAGATTATATTTATCAGCAAAGGTCAAGTACGACGTATACAAACACTAACAGTACAGATCGAAGCGCCTTCGCTCGAAACGTCGAAGTTCTCCTTGTATTTTTCAGGTAGCTGTATCCCTATCCAACCGAAGCTTTCCCCCAGAATTTTTAGTTGTTTTCAATTCGATTTCAGTGTAAAATGTATCAAATTTTCGACGCGAAATTCTAAATACTTTATTTATATTTTGCAACATTGCCGAGCATGCGTTGAACTCACGTTGGAAATTCAACGTGAATCAATTCGATTTCTCCAGAGCTATGCCCACCCTTAACCTGCGAACGGGCATGCTCGGGGAACGAGATTGCAAAAAAGTAAGGCTATATAGGCTTAACTTTTCGTCCATTTTTGGCGACTTTTTTCATTTTTTATAAGTGAGTAAAAAACAGCAAAAAAAGTAAGGCTAGCCTTAACTTTTCGTCCATTTTTAGCGACTTTTTTCATTTTTCATAAGTGGGTAAAAAACAGCAAAACAGTAAGGCTATACCCTTTATTTTTCGTTCATTTTTAGCGACTTTTTTCATTTTTCATAAGTGGGTAAAAAACAGCAAAACAGTAAGGCTATACCCTTTACTTTTCGTCCATTTTTGGCGACTTTTTTCATTTTTCATAAGTGGGCACAAAACAGCAAAAAAGTAAGGCTTTATTTCCATTTTTCATAAGTGGCCAAAAAACAGGAAAAAAGCAAAAAACAGCAAAAAAGTAAGAAACATGAAAAACAGCAAAAAAAGTAAGGCTATATATAGCCTTCGTCCATTTTTGGCGACTTTTTTCATTTTTCATAAGTGGGTAAAAAACAGCAAAAAAAGTACTTTATACTTTATTTAGAAATGGTAAATACATTGCAGCCATGAGCTGAATTGCGTATTATACTTACAATTAAAAATTATTAAAAATTAGAGTTTTGAAATATATCAAAGTATTATAATTAATTAACTAAATTGTCAAAAGTGTCTGTTTATAATAAGCATGCAAAAGTTATTAAGAATATAAAATAGGTAAATGAAGAGTAAAACCTATTCAGTTTTGCTACTCGATGCCATAATAAAACTATTACTAAACCGATTGGTTTTACAAACTGGAACGTCAAAAGATCTAATAGATCTCAGGTCGTGGATGGAGTTATGCTTAAGTAAGGCTATAGCCTTCGTCCATTTTTAGCGATTTTTTTCATTTTTCATAAGTGGGTAAAAAACAGCAAAAAAGTAAGGCTATATTTCCATTTTTCATAAGTGGCCAAAAAACAGCAAAAAAGAAAAAAACAGCAAAAAAAGTAAGAAACATGAAAAACGGCAAAAAAGTAAGGCTATATTTCCATTTTGAAAAACATGGACCTGAAAAACATTTCAAACGTGAAAAGCGGCAAAAAAGTAAGGCTATATTTTCATTTTTCACAAGTGGTCGAAAAACAGCAAAAAAGTAAGGCTATAGCCTTCGTCCATTTTTAGCGATTTTTTCCATTTTGCATAAGAGGGCAAAAAACAGCAAAAAAGTAAGGCTATAGCCTTCGTCCATTTTTAGCGATTTTTCCATTTTTCCATAAGTGGCCATAAAACAGCAAAAAAGCAAGGCTATAGCCTTGGTCCATTTTTAGCGACTTTTTTCATTTTTCATAAGTGGGTAAAAAACAGCAAAAAAGTAAGGCTATAGCCTTAACGTTTCGTCCATTTTTAGCGACTTTTTTCATTTTTCGTAAAGGGACAAAAAACAGCAAAAAGGTTAGATGCTGTTCTTGTTTGCCTGCGAATAGATTGTATATTTGTCGATACTTGTACCCAAGCCATTGTTTGTTTTGTTGTTCTGGGTGCAATGAAATCCGGCATAAATCCTGGGGGTCTAAATGTTCAGTATATTCAGACATTCGATCTATTTTCTGTTCACTAGACTTTGATAGCTTGAACGAAAGTTTATAACAATAATTTTCTTTGCAAAAACTGTACTTTCGAAATTCGTCAGTTTCTGAATTTGAAAACCGATCACACGCACTACAAGTGCAGCAACGCAACAGTTTAGACATGGTCATGAGGCAGGATGTTGTGCAAGAAAAGCTTTGCCAGAGTTTTGTCTTTCGAAATAAACGATTGGAAATTGCTGTTTGATTCTTTGTAATATATCTTATCGCTTGTTAGTAAAAAAGAAATTTGTCACTTTCCTCATCTCCAAACCTTTTTTCAAAAAAAAACTGGCATCGTTTTTCTTGGGGTTAGGGGGTACAAATGGTACCCATAGCTTAGAGGGTGCAAATGGTACCCGTAAGAAGACTTGGTGGAATCATGTTGGTCGTTTGGATCGGCGAGAATAAGAGAATTGTGGTGGCAAAGTTTTTTCAAACATTTTCTCTCCCGTAGTAAGGTAAAATCAAATCAAATCAAATCAAAAATCAAATCAAATTTTATTAATAAATACATAAACAGTCTGTATATACAATACTATCCGCTAATAGCAAAGCTAATCGGGGCGGATAGTAGAATGAGATTAAATAAGAATTATAGATATGCTCGGTTATAATATAAAGTGGCGCAGTATACTGACAGCACAAAGCATCATTTTCACAAAGAAGAATTCCCTATTAATTTCCTATTAATTTCGAAGGATGTACTATTTTCCATGCTTACTCATATATCTAATTAATGTGGGCACATCAGCATAATCGTCCTCAATCTCAAGTATGGTTAAAAGACTTTTCTGAATTTTCAAATTGAAATTTTTTCTACCCAACTCTCGAACATCAGTGGGAATACTATTCCAAATTTTAACACCTGATTTTACAAAGGATGTGATAGTTGTAGTTAGTTTTGAGTATTCAACATAAAAATTATTTGATACACAATGTCTAGTGTTATAAGTATGGACTTCTTTTGATTGGATAAAACAATCGGAGATCGAGCATGTATTTATTTTCCTGGTAGCCGGTCTTACTTCGTGAAAAAACAGTCCGCTACCAGTGACTAGGTCCCCTCTCTTATGGCGGTCATTGCGGCTCAATGTATTCTCAATGGAACACAAAGGTATTCAGGCATGTAGAGGTATTCTTTTTCAGGGTGGTTGCATGCGGATAAGATGGTCCGTCGCGTGCGCAAAATAGTTAGGGAGATAGACAGTTTAGAAGCGCAATGAACACTCGCACGAAATGTAAAAATAAAATGGCTTAACAAAATTGCGAAAAAACAAAAAATGACAACTTTGCCATTTTGAGCGTCCGCAATAGGGCGTGCGCATGCACAAAGTTTTCTCACAGGATGTCCTGGTTTTAACATAAATAATAAAAAGAAGTGTCCGTGGTCGGGGCTGAATAGTACTGTGGAAGATTGGGTTGGAAAATTTACAATTAAGATCTGTATTTTCGGACAATTATTACTCTTTGAAAAATAGTATCCTACTGATGTAAAATAACATCTAAAGGGTTTGGCAACAATGATGTTAGCCCTAAAGTTTATTTCATAAAATGATTTATCTTTGAAAATACTGAATTACAAGACAGTTTAAAAAAATTTCGAGTAAAAGTTTAATAATAATTGAATTGATAAGGCCATTTCCACTCAAGAAAATTTGGGGCTAATGTAAGCCACTTAATGCATATGTCGTTCTTTGTCTTTCATTTGAAGGAAAAATACCAAACTCTCTTAACGTCTTTGTTGCCAGCAGTTGTGTAACTTTCATGAAAAAATCAAAGTCTTGAGGTTTTGTTTTACTTATATAACTAACATGTTTTTTTGGTTTTCAACAAAGTAATAATGGTCTAGAAATACAGATTTATATTTGCACATGTTAGTAAGTTTCTTCTGTAACTGCACAATTATTGCAAAATTGTGCGCTTATCACACTATTAAAATTAGTAAGGTCTGTGAACATTGTGGCACAACTGCTTGTTCCCATGCATAAATTTTTAACTAATTTTTGGGATTGGATTTATTCAAATTTGAGATGATTTTGAACACATATTGGTACCAATGCTATCATTATATATGAGTAAAATATTGTTCGTTTATACATTGTTCAAGTTTTTATAGCTTTTATTGTTTTAACAGTCGAAATATATGTTGATTTTGTTGAATTATTTGTTAATTATTCGTTCATTTTATGCATGATGAAACCCGAAATTTATAGTTTGATGGTCACAACAAATTTGAGCATATAAAAATGTGTAAAATTGTGCACCAAAACACTAGCTGTAATATTTGAACTCGCTAGAACACAACTAGTTTTAAATACGTTTGAATTGAATTTCATACATGCAGTATTTCAAATGTTGTGATTGATTATCTGTTTCAAAACTTTTGAAATCATGCATACAGCTATTTCAATATTATGGTTGTCCAACAGCAAAGCGAAAAAGTCGAATACGTGCGCGCAAGGCTGCTGCGCGGGAATCGCTAACAACTGAGTCGTCAGTCAGGAACCTTGTCAGCCTTTCGCGCTCGTATTCGACTTTTCCGCTTTGCTGTTGGACAACCTTAATATTGAAATAGCTGTATGCATGATTTCAAAAGTTTTCAAACAGATAATCACAACATTTGAAATACTGCATGTATGAAATTCAATTCAAACGTATTTAAAACTAGTTGTGTTCTAGCGAGTTCAAATATTACAGCTAGTGTTTTGGTGCACAATTTTAACATTTTTATATGCTCAAATTTGTTGTGACCATCAAACTATAAATTTCGGGTTTCATCATGCATAAAATGAACGAAAATTAACAAATAATTCAACAAAATCAACATATATGTCTACTGTTAAAACAATAAAAGCTATAAAAACTAGAACAATGTATAAACGAACAATATTTTACTCATAGAATGAGTAGCATTGGTACCAAATTGATGTGTTCAAAATCATCTCAAATTTGAATAAATCCAATCCCAAAAATTAGTTAAAAATTTATGCATTGGAACAAGCAGTTGTGCCACAATGTTCACAGACAATTCACAGTACTATTTGGTTTGTGGGTTCAAATCCCAAAACACTTAATTTTTTATTTATATAAAAAAAGGATCCGATGGATAAAATAAATCCTTTTTTAAAAAGGATGCGATGGATCCAAAGGATCCGATGGATTAATAGATAGATTAATCCATCGGATCCTTTGGATCCATCGGATCCATCGGATCCTTTGGATCCATCGGATCCATCGGATCCTTCGGATCCATCGGATCCATCGGATCCTTTGGATCCATCGGATCCTTTGGATCCATCGGATCCTTTGGATCCATCGGATCCTTTCGATCCATCGGATCCTTTGGATCCATCGGATCCTTTTAATCCTTTGGATCCATCGGATCCTTTGGATCCATCGGATCCTTTGGATCCATCGGATCCTTTGGATCCATCGGATCCTTTGGATCCATCGGATCCTTTGGATCCATCGGATCCTTTGGATCCATCGGATCCTTTGGATCCATCGGATCCTTTGGATCCTTTTATCCATCGGATCCTTTGGATCCATCGGATCCTTTGGATCCATCGGATCCATTGGATACTTTTTTATAAATAAAAATTAAGCGTTTTGGGATTTGAACCCACAAACCAAATAGTACTGTGAATTGTCTGTGAACAATTGGCACAACTGCTTGTTCTCATGCATAAATTTTTAACTAGTTTTTGGGATTGGATTTATTCAAATTTGAGGTGATTTTGAACACATATTGGTATGTTACTCATTCTATGAGTAAAATATTGTTCGTTTATACTTTGTTCTAGTTTTTTATAGCTTTTATATTGTCTTAGCAGTTGAAATATATGTGATTGTTTACGAAATATATTTAATTATTTGTTAATTGTTCGTTCATTTCATACGTGACGAAACCCGAAATTAATAGTTTGATGGTCACAAAAAAATTTGGGCATAAAAAATTTTAAAATTGTACATAGTCTAGGACCTGTATATGAGTTTGTATGCGATTCATTTAGGACAGGTAATCTCAACTGTTTTAAGGTAAAATGACCATGGCGGTCAACATGGCATATGTGCGAAAACCTGAATCCGGGACGAAAGTCCTGAAAATGACCCCGCCCTGAAACGGCAGTGTCGACATAGCTCTAACTTCCGAAAAGGAAAAGCGATAGCCTTTCTGAAGTGCTTATCGTGTTTAGAAGGGTTGCTTTTAGGGGTGGTCATTGGAAGGAAAAATTTGTTGAAGTATAATATTTTACCAGAAAATGACTATGCACCACCCCAGGTAAATTGCTGATTATGCACAAAATAACTAATATGCCTGGCAGAAATTAAATATTCTTATTTCCTAAAAAAAATTATCATGGGGTGAAAAACTATGCTTAATTTAATATAAATATTGTTGATTTCATAAGGATTGTCATTGTTTTCTTTAAATATAATACATTTTATTTCACTTACCCCCCACGAAAACACGATTTCAGCCATATTTTGCCGTCTTGTTTGCTTTTTATCGCCGAATCTCGCAAATATCATCCAGTTATTGTACTTTTACATAATCATTAATGGCTGAAGAAGATTTCAAAGAAGGTTTCATCCACTTTTGTAACAGTGCAGTGTATTTTACCTTCGATATTGTGTCCTTCGATATTCCGCCAAATTGCCGCCATTTTAATGGCTCGCCCCTTCTCTGTCTGATAAATGCAACTTCTTCGTTTCCATATGTATTTAGATTACAGTATCCAAGAGTACTTCATTGTAGAATAGTCCCAATCCAAAAATTGGCAGCATTTGTCCCATTAGGAAGGAAAAATCCTCCCGTATACCATTTAGGTTCAAAATAAAAAACAAATCATTTGAAAGTCACGCGCAATCTTCGCGAAAACTTCTCGTGGACACATGACAGGGGGGGTTGAATATTTGTCAGTTATAGACCTGAAACGAGGGGTTTTCCACAAAAAATTACCCTGAGGGATGAAATATTCCGAGGGCGAAGCCCGAGGGATATTTCATCCCGCAGGGTAATTTTTTGTGGAATACCCCGAGTGAAAGGTCTATAAATGGTATATTATACCGAACCTTTCAAAAATAAGTAGAAAACAAATACCATTCAATTAACTTTTAATTTCAAAACACAACTTTTGATAACTTTACATTTAAAAAAGTCGAATTTCCCGCTCAAGCGTGGTATTCGAAGTCGAATAACATGGCCCCGGGTAAAACACCCAGGGTTCAAATTGCCTAGGTCATAGTATTCGCTGAAAAATACCATGGTCATGTGGTACAAATTCAGTTCTCTGATTGGACAAGCTCATTGTGAGGTATAATATTTTGTGGAATACCCCTCGTTTCAGGTCTATAACTGATAAATATTGTATTTATTGTATTTTTATGATTACGCAAATATTTATTGTTTTTATTATAAATCATAAAATACAATAAATTTAGTTATGTTTCTGTGTGTGGCGAACATATTCGTGAAAATATTCAACCCCCCTGTCATGTGTCCACGAGAAGTTTTCGCGAAGATTGCGCGTGATTTCAAATGATTTGTTTTTTATTTTGAACCTAAATGATATACGGGAGGATTTTTCCTTCCTAATGGAACAAATGCTGCCAATTTTTGGATTGGGACTATTCTACAATGAAGTACGTACTCTTGGATACTGTAATCTAAATACATATGGAAACGAAGAAGTTGCATTTATCAGACAGAGAAGCGGCGAGCCATTAAAATGGCGGCAATTTGGCGGAATATCGAAGGACACAATATCGAAGGTAAAATACACTGCACTGTTACAAAAGTGGATGAAACCTTCTTTGAAATCTTCTTCAGCCATTTATAATTATGTAAAAGTACAATAACTGGATGATATTTGCGAGATTCGGCGATAAATAGCAAACAAGACGGCAAAATATGGCTGAAATCGTGTGTTCGTGGGGGGTAAGTGAAATAAAATGTATTATATTTAAAGAAAACAATGACAATCCTTATGAAATCAACACTATTTATATTAAATTAAGCATAGTTTTTCACCCCATGATAATTTTTTTTAGGAAATAAGAATATTTAATTTCTGCCAGGCATATTAGTTATTTTGTGCATAATCAGCAATTTACCTGGGGTGGTGCATAGTCATTTTCTGGTAAAATATTATACTTTGACAAATTTTTCCTTCCAATGACCACCCCTAAAAGCAACCCTTCTAAACACTATAAGCACTTCAGAAAGGCTATCGCTTTTCCTTTTCGGAAGTTAGAGCTATGTCGACACTGCCGTTTCAGGGCGGGGTCATTTTCAGGACTTTCGTCCCGGATTCAGGTTTTCGCACATATGCCATGTTGACCGCCATGGTCATTTTACCTTAAAACAGTTGAGATTACCTGTCCTAAATGAATCGCATACAAACTCATATACAGGTCCTAGACTAAGGAAGCAAATTTTGTTTCTGCAATAAAAGCCAATGTTACCAGATGTGGGCGATAGGGAAACATTTGAGCAAACATTGAAAATCACGAATATTTCCGCGACAATGTTTCTTACATTTATTAAACGACGTTTCGATGCTACAGCGTGCATCATTTTCAAGTTATAGTATTTCATATATTGCGTTGATTTTAATTAAACCGTTCGTGTCACGTTAGCAAATTATTTCGTAAGCATGCAAAATTTAAATTTATATGACGTGATAAATTACATAAATTACATAAATTACATTTAAAAGAAAACATAAAGCAGATTAAACATATTTCTGTCTTTCATAAATATAACATGTACACAAAAAACAACAACAAACAAACAAACAAACAAACAAACAAACATACTAAACAAAACAAACATCAAGCCCATTAATTATAGGACTAAGTATAAAGTTTTGAACGAATGGAGTCCGATTGAGTGTTCAAGGACGGCGATAGTTCCTTAATATACAACATTTCGTATAGAAGACACTCATACTTTCCTTGGCATTTTCGTAGAATTGAAAAGCAACCTTCAATTCTCGACGCATCCTCTTCGTGATCTTCCCTCATATGTTTCCCGATTACCGATCGCTTGTGCTCATCAATGCGCTGATGTAAGTGCCGACTAGTATAGCCAACATAATCTGCATCGCACAGATCATATTTATATCTATACACAACGCGTTGTTGATTTACAATTGGTGGTTTCATCTCATGAACTTTAACTTCTTCTTTGATCTTTCTACTTTTAAATACTGGCTCTAATGCTCGACCAATCACCGTACCAAGGCCTGCGAGTTGTCTTCGCACGATATCAGACGACTTCTGATCTTTAAACGGCAGGGCCACGCAAATCACATCTCTTTTCACATACTCAGTTGGGGTCGAGCTGTTCATTTCTGCGTATTTCTTGGTTACAAACTCAGAGATGATTGAGTCAACGAGTCTGAGAGGATATCGTAGATTGGCAAAAACGCTCTTTAGACGATCACACTCTTCCACAAAGTGTTTCCAGGATGACGATAAACAGAATGCACGGTTTAGCATGGTAGTAATCAATGATTTTTATATCTACGATCGACATGGCTTTGGTAGTGAAGAAGGAGGCCGGTATTTGTTGGTTTGACGTAGACTTTCGTTTCGATATGGCCATACGTTCTTATCGCTTCCATACCAAGAAAAGGCAGCTTCCCGTCGACTTCATATTCCATTGTAAAATTCAAGGATGGATGGCAGTTGTTGAAGGTATTAAGAAAATCTTCCGCCGATGCTAAACTTCGTTGGGTGGTAATGGTGTCATCAACAAAACGGTGGTAAAACGAGGGCATACGGTTGTTGTCAACGAGTTTCTGTTCAATGGAACACATGAAGGTGTTCGCCATCAAGGGGCCAAGTGGTGATCCCATCGCAACGCCGTCTACCTGCCGGTACAGCTTACCGTCTAACTGGAAAAGTTGGTTCTTCACGGCCAAGTTCAACTTACCAAAACAAATCGCAGATTTCATATCCCCAAAAGGTTCACGTCTTGCGCATCTTTACGGCCTTCCTAAGACCCATAAGAAAGAATTGGCAATGCGCCCCATCCTTTCTGCCACGGATACCTACAACTACAAGCTCGCAAAGCTCGCTGTTTGTTTGTTGTTTTTTGTGTACATGTTATATTTATGAAAGACAGAAATATGTTTAATCTGCTTTATGTTTTCTTTTAAATGTAATTTATGTAATTTATGTAATTTATTACGTCATATAAATTTAAATTTTGCATGCTTACGAAATAATTTGCTAACTTGACACGAACGGTTTAATTAAAATCAACGCAATATATGTAATACTATAACTTGAAAATGATGCACGCTGTAGCATCGAAACGTCGTTTAATAAATGTAATATCGCTATCATTTGTTTCAAAATTATTTTCAAAAAAATTTTTGATTAAATGTTTCTTACGTTTGGCCAAGAGCAAGGCTTTAGTTTAGCGAAATATTTAAATTTGTTCCTTGATAGTGTGAATCGTATATGTATATTTATATATTCTCCGTCCTGTTTGATACAGGTGGGTTTGTTTACCTCACACAAATTTGTATTGAATTAGGATGTTAGTAAGTAGAACTAAACGTTAAAACGGTATTTTGAAACAA